TTGTCATCTTATAAAGGAGACTCGCTGCTTTCGGAAAAAAATCCAAATTTTAATGGGATTTTTTATTAAGCCTTAAAAGTTGTCTTCACGCATTGAGAAAGGTATTTTTTAAGGAATTAAAAATATCGATTTATTTGAACAATCTACTGACATGTTGAAAATGGGACCCGTTTTTCCAAAAAGCGGATTTCCAATAAGGCAAATAATCGAACACCCTAACATATATGTATGTATGTATTTCACTTACATACATATATATGTACATATCAACACACGAAGACGCAAGTATGCTGGAGCAGTTTGTGATGTGGAGTTATTTTGCCACGGCGACAGCGCATACCTCCACTTGTGCATTTTATTTCTTCGCATGAATTGCTGCACTCTGATGCACTCCCTTCTGCCTGCCCCTTAAGCACCTGAAAAGCCTGCTCGATTAAGCACTTTTTTCTTGCATTGCATTGCCTACCATGTCGCCGGCATCGCTGTTTTGTGGTCCTTTTGGGACGCTGCGTATTTTGTTTTGTTGTTTTTGTCTTTTTTGTATTTTGGGTTGGTCTGCGTGCACATGTTGTCGTCGTCTGTCTGCAGCCTGGCTCCTCTGCTCCAAAGCCGTGTGCATTTCGGCTTACGAGCCGCTGTTTGCCCCGAGCTCGAGTTCATTAAATTGTGCGCCGCAGTGCTCCATGGCACTACTTTAATTTTTTTGCTTTTTATGGATGTGTATTTGGCAAATTTGCCCATCTCGAGGCCGCCGCGGTGGTGCGCCCTCCGATTTGATGTGTTGCGTTGCACTTTATTTGGTTTCGCTTTTAGTTTGTTGTTGATTTCTTCAGCTCAGTTCAGCTGAGTTGTTTGCATTTCGTGCTCTTGTGTTTTTATTTATTTTTGTGAATTTTCTTCTTTTTTTTAACAAAAAAATATACATACATACATAAATATTTTGCGTCCAAGGTTAAGCCCGTTCCACCGTCTTTTCTGTCGCAATCCCGGAATTTTTATAATTTCAGAATTTCGAAATAATTTGATTTTACTGCTATTTCATGTGTTTTGCGGTTTTTTTTTTGTATTTTGTGAAATTCTCAGGAAACTTCCCGAATACATATGTATGTATGTATGTACATGCGTACCTCAATGTACTTAAGCATGTGCTTGAGTGCTTTTGGGAGAATCATGGAGGTGCGTGTTGTGTGTTTCGAGTATGTCATCAAACAGGCTTCAACGAACTGGAATATATACATTCATACTCCGCATGCTCCGCAGACTTTAAAGCCCACAAATGCGAACTCCGTGCGTGTTATGTTTCTTCTCCATGTATTCCTTAACATTTTATTTTTTATTTTTTTTTGTCTGTTGTGGTTATCGTTTTTGTGATTTTTATTGTTGTCCCTGGCGTAGAGTAAAATTACCAAAAATGAAAGAAACAAATTGCTATGACAGCAATCGAAAATAATATCAAAGAACTGGTTTTTTCGGGTATCTTAATATGGACTCATATTTACAACACGATCGCATACACATGATGTGGACCAGAATTGGGATGCATGCATGAAAATAACAGCAAACATACATACGTACATACATATGTATGAGCTTGAAGATGTTTGGTGTTCCTCATGGCGTTTCCATGTTAATCGTTGCGGTTGCTGTTGTTGATGTGTCGCTTTTGAATATGAACCCATGCTCAACGCAACTCAAGGGAGTGAGATTTATTACGGTTCAAACTAAGAGTGATCAAATTTCGTGGCCATCCTCGCGAGTGCACTTGGAAGGGGTTTAAGTTATATTTTGATATCAAGTGCAACATTGTATGGCATATTCATTTACTTAGTTGTTGTTGTTGTTGTTGAAGTTGAAGATTTCCAGTCAGTGTTGGCATTTTTGGTACAATTGCACTTTTTTGATACAATTTCGTATACAATATACTTTCCTACTATGCAGTAATTTTAAGTACAATTTTTTGATGAATACTATAAATATATAGCTCCGAAAATTCACTGCGGGAAATTTTTTCATTCTCTTTTTGTCTTCGCCTTCTCGTTTTTGCCTTTGTAAGTTTTGAAACAAGGTTTCAAACGAACCATTATAACATAGCACAAGGTGTGCTATCTAGCTCACATTCCTAGGCAAGTATTGAAATAATATTTTTGATACTATCTCTTATTAAAACAAATTGTCGAAATCTGTTGCATATAGAAACAGTGTCATCGTTAATTGAGAAAGAGATGTTCTTAAATATCATAACTTTTCGACACTTACATATTGACTAGATTTGACTATTTATTTTATTATTATTTAATTTTAATTATTTTTTTATAAAAATATAGTTTATTCCTTATCAAAAACTGTACGAAAATAAGTTTAAATCTTTGAACAACATTAAAAAAATCGTCAAACTTTCGCAAAAATTTCGAGCTTTCTATTTAATATTTTTTTTTATATTTTGCAGTTTTTTAGCTCATTCAATTTTAGTATTATAAAGTGCAAGTTTAAAGTAGCAGGGATTTGCCGTTGATGTGTGGCATTTTTTGACGATATTCTTCCATATTATCTAAGTATGAATAAAATGAGCATAAAAAAAAATATATATATATATATTAGAAATCGACGTTAAGTCGCAGCTATTTTAAACATGCGCTTTACTTAAATTGGTCGGGCTACAAAACTGCATACTTAAGATATGCATTTCTAGGAAATCTAATTAAAAAGCTCGAAATTTTAACGAAAGTTTGTTGATTTTTTTAATGTACGCAAAGATTGGACTTTGGATTTATACGGGTGTTGTTAAAGTATAAACTGTATTTTTATAAACACATAAATAAAATTAAATAATTTTAAGATAAATGGCCAATCTTGCCAATATATGCGTGTCGTAAAAGTTTTTATAAGCATTTGAAAGACTATTAAAATGTCAAGTTTTAGTACTGAATTCAAAGAAAATGTCTCATTTATCCTTTCATAATAACTTAAACAAAAATTAAAATGTTAAAAGTGTAAAATATGTAAATGTACCTACATAATCTTTCTCATGAATACCATCAAATCATTGGTCTTGAAGGGAATCTATGTATGCATGTACTAAGAAAATATATGAGCAAATTGAAAAGTCGATACAATTAACAGTTGAAAAGTACAGTTTTTGTATAAATTTCGTACCGAAAGAACAAATTCATTTCCCAACATTGCGTGAGATACATACATACATATATAAAATTGTTACAAGAAACATTGTCCCGTAGGTATTCCCATAGATGAAAGAGGTTATTGTCGAATCCTCAGTACTAATAATCAACACAATCATGAACCACCAATTGATTTTATTAAAAAACTTAAAATTGCGAGTATAAAAAAACTCGATGCGAAAAACCAAACGCACAAAGAGCTGGCATTTCCGCTATGTCCAAAAACCCCGGAAGAAATGAAATAATTATTTTTTTAAATAAGCATATTTTGAATGAATTCGGAATGACTAAGGTTGAAAAGAAACCCTTCTATAAGGAAACAATTATAGAATTATTTATGTCGCCAATAATTTGTAACATCATTAAAAGCAGCCAAGGAGAACGGCACTATTTATTATTTGAAACATAAATTTTATGTCCTTTTTGGTTTTGTTGTTTCCGACAGGGTATGATGTATTTTCGAACGAATTTACACACAAAAATTAAGTATATGCTTACTTTTATAACGGGTGATTTTTTTGAGGTTAGGATTTTCATGCATTAGTATTTGACAGATCACGTGGGATTTCAGACATGGTGTCAAAGAGAAAGATGCTCAGTATGCTTTGAAATTTCATCATGAATAGACTTACTAACGAGCAACGCTTGCAAATCATTGAATTTTATTACCAAAATCAGTGTTCGGTTCGAAATGTGTTTCGCGCTTTACGTCCGATTTATGGTCTACATAATCGACCAAGTGAGCAAACAATTAATGCGATTGTGACCAAGTTTCGCACTCAGTTTACTTTATTGGACATTAAACCAACCACACGAATGCGTACAGTGCGTACAGAAGAGAATATTGCGTCTGTTTCTGAGAGTGTTGCTGAAGACCGTGAAATGTCGATTCGTCGCCGTTCGCAGCAATTGGGTTTGTGTTATTCGACCACATGGAAGATTTTACGCAAAGATCTTGGTGTAAAACCGTATAAAATACAGCTCGTGCAAGAACTGAAGCCGAACGATCTGCCACAACGTCGAATTTTCAGTGAATGGGCCCTAGAAAAGTTGGCAGAAAATCCGCTTTTTTATCGACAAATTTTGTTCAGCGATGAGGCTCATTTCTGGTTGAATGGCTTCGTAAATAAGCAAAATTGCCGCATTTGGAGTGAAGAGCAACCAGAAGCCGTTCAAGAACTGCCCATGCATCCCGAAAAATGCACTGTTTGGTGTGGTTTGTACGCTGGTGGAATCATTGGACCGTATTTTTTCAAAGATGCTGTTGGACGCAACGTTACGGTGAATGGCGATCGCTATCGTTCGATGCTAACAAACTTTTTGTTGCCAAAAATGGAAGAACTGAACTTGGTTGACATGTGGTTTCAACAAGATGGCGCTACATGCCACACAGCTCGCGATTCTATGGCCATTTTGAGGGAAAACTTCGGAGAACAATTCATCTCAAGAAATGGACCGGTAAGTTGGCCACCAAGATCATGCGATTTGACGCCTTTAGACTATTTTTTGTGGGGCTACGTCAAGTCTAAAGTCTACAGAAATAAGCCAGCAACTATTCCAGCTTTGGAAGACAACATTTCCGAAGAAATTCGGGCTATTCCGGCCGAAATGCTCGAAAAAGTTGCCCAAAATTGGACTTTCCGAATGGACCACCTAAGACGCAGCCGCGGTCAACATTTAAATGAAATTATCTTCAAAAAGTAAATGTCATGGACTAATCTAACGTTTCAAATAAAGAACCGATGAGATTTTGCAAATTTTATGCGTTTTTTTTAAAAAAAAAAGTTATCAAGCTCTTAAAAAATCACCCGTTAATTACAGGCATTTTATTTCGCGTATATGTGGCTATAAGACCGAACGCTTTGAAAATACCAAACTCTTCGATGACACTAAAGAACTCCGCAGCTTTGCAGAAATGATATCGAATTTTTTGTATGCTTCCCTTGGTCAAGCCTATTCGTATTAAGGAAATATTTATGAAGCTAAAAGCTGAAATCCAAGACAACGGCTATATTTTTAAAATATGCCTCTTACAACTTACATTGAATATTCCGATAATCAATGGTTTACAAAGGTATGTATGACAACCACAATCACATCCATTTATGACGAAATAACCTACATGCATATGTATTTTAAAACTTTTGTTTCAACTTACACCGGTTGCTTTTATCGATTATATGTATACAACGGTTGAGAACAACTAGTGCTTTAGAAGGCTTTAGTTCGATCTTGAATTCAAGGCTAATAAAACATTGCCGCGTTTACATTTATTAGTGAAGATTTTTCGAAGTCTATTTATTTAAGAAACGTCTCTAAGGGCTCGGTTGATGGCTTGCAAGGGCGTAACCAGTCGTCGACCTTGGGGGCCGGCAGGAGTTTATATAAACGGAAAAAACTTTTTAATTAAATTGTATTGTTTGTTTCTTATATATAATAAATAGCAATGTTTAGGCTTAAGCAAGTATACACTCAGGGAAGGAGTCAAGTTTTTCGTACTCGACATCGGACAAAGATTGAAAATACTAAAATATAGAACACAAATCTTATATGATATTATTGAGCACCAAATACTGGAATTAAGATCATGCAACCTTAAAAAAAAAAACGTGAGGTCTAGGTACTCATAAAATTTGATGTGTAAACATATGCGAACGGCAAAGCATAAAAGCACGTTTACATATAAATATAATCTCAATCAAAGCTCGTTAGCTGTCAAATTGGCTGTGCTTGTTACTCACACAACCCGAGAAAAAGTTAAACTTCTTCTCTGTGCCACCTTGGTCACTTTTTTCTGCTACGCATATTCTGTTGTTTAAATATATTTTAACTGAATATTTTCTTAAAAATACCTTTACAAACTTCTTTTCCCTACTAGCGTAAATTTTTGTTTACTTTTACATTGGACATTCCTCGTCTTCTTCGCAAGTATAATCGATAAAACTAGCTTGGACTTCAAAAAGTTATCGGCTTAATCTGGGATAATTTTATAATTATAACTTTTTATGGCTTATCTATTTTTCTAATTACAGATTAGGGAGTTAAGCTCGAAAATGTGGATAATCTTTTTATATGTAAAGCTATTATTAGTATTAGGCAATTCAGTTACATACATACACATGTAGGCTAGGTTAGAAATTAAGCAAAAATTTCACTTAGTTTTAATCGTTTTGCTGATTTAATTTGTTTTTATTCATTTACATTTTTAATTCATGCGTTATTTTCGCTATTTCACGTCTTAGCTTTTTCAATAATATTTTTATATTTATTTTCCAAACGCATCTCATGGTATTTTCATGACAAAAAACCAACTTACTTACTCATTTATAACAAAAGTCGACACTTCAACGGGGGAAAACGGGTTGCATCGAGTTGCAGCAGTTATAAATTATATGGCTGCAAAATTGAGTCAATGTGTTAGTCTACAAAAATTGATGGAGTGCATATACGTTAGCGAAATTTGATATTTTTATGGTGGATTCTAGTGCTTTAAACTATACTCTAATATATATATATATAAATGCATTACAATTTTGCCAAAGAACTACCGAAAAATGCATAAATTTTGATATTTTTATTATTGACTCAATTTTGCACCTAAATGTACCTCAATCGTATAAGTAGAGCCAAACTATGATAAAATCAAACTGGATAAAATGCCAAAGAAACAAGTTTTCCGGACAACATAACACGTTAAAATACCAAGATATGTATGTGATACGCATATCCTGCATGCAAGTACATATGTAGGTATATATCTACATACATATGTGAATACATACATATAGATAATATGTGTAAATAATGAAATTTATTTTAACATGATTCGCACCTAAAAGTTTTACGAAACTCAGCTCGAGGTTATGGCATTGGCAGTCCTACTAAAATATTTGGGCTGTTTATTCGTATTACGGAAGGAAAAGTGGGTTCCGTGCCAGGGTTAGATTACATTATGATTAAATAAACCTTAACTTTAGTGAATTGGACCACAGGAGTAAATTTGCCAACGCACCACAAAAGTGGTCGCAGTAAACTGAATATTAAAAAAGTGTTTACCAAACAAAACGCACAAACTTACAAACGTCCATTTATCTATTGTATATATATGTATTTACGTACGCGTATGTGTAAAACTATTTTCCCTTGGGTTCCTTAGTGTATTTGTATTTTGTTTCAAATGCGGTCATGTGAAAATATTTATGTAAATTTTTAAACTGCCTGTAGAGACAAATCTAGAGTTAGGTGGTACAAGATTCATAGGTTTGCATGCTTGTTCCAAATGAGCCGCACGTGTTTTGGAGTAAGAGTACATACATATATATGTACATAAACATGTATGTTTGCATACATTTACAAAAGTTTTCAATTTTCTATGTTGATTTTTGCAAGCCGCCTGTTGCCCTCAGTATTGTTGAATTCTGCGGTTGGCGCTGTTGGATCGGTCGCCAACTCTGTCATCGCTCGAAAAAGCCACAAAAATTTCTAAGTGCTCCCATGCGTATGCATTTCGGCCAATTTGCATTTGGGTTTAGAGTGTTTTGAGAAGCATTAAATGTGAAAACAATAACAATGAGAATTGCATGAGGGTATCATAACTTTGTCATCGTTACGTTTCAAAGCTGGATGTATTTATATACATATGTATGTATGAATGTACATATGCACATATTTATATGTATGTAAATGCAGCATGCTGCAATAATGAAAACGAGACGGATATACCTACATATCATGATTGCCACCTTCATCCGAACACGGTTGCCATTTCCAATTTATTTTTCCGACCCAAAAATTGACCAAATGGTAAAAAATGGACCGATTTTTATTACATCGGGAAATTGAGTGGAGTTTATTCCTCTTTATCCAGAAAATATGCCAATTAATTTTTTATAATGATTTTTTTTATATTGCATTTACAATTGTATATTATTAACATTATATAATTTGTTTTAAATTATAATTTGTTTCTTAGTTTCGATTTTCTTAAGCTAAATCAAGAAATTTGCGCTCAGCAGCTGCGGAACTGTGAGGCAGACAAAAAATGTTATGAACTAAATCACACAATTCTCCAACGGCCGTTTCACCCAATCCATTTTTAATCAAACTTACTTGATCCCAAAAACGTTCTATATTAATTTAGTTTTTGAAGTTACCTTCACTCAGCTTCAATTTGTGAAATTGAAATTCAATTATTTCTGCATCATTTACCAATGCAGGAAATTGGTCGAGTAGCGGCAAAATTGATACATCAGTCTCAGAAAGAACTTTATGGGCTGGTTTCTCCAACTCAACTTAACTTACTAGTTCACACACACATAAATTGATTTTTACCATTTTTCAGCTAAACGATAAGGTTGATCATAACAATATGTTTGAACTGAAGTTAAACAGGTGGTTGTATAAAAATATTCAGTTGGTACGGCAGGTGCCATGGGCCCTTTTTCAAAAACCCCCATTTTTTTGCGTGGGGAAAGATATGTGTTTTGGTAAAAAAATAAGCTGTGCAAAATTTTATTCGACTATGATAACTTTTGAGTATTTGCAAGTAGCATATGCAAATTTAGAAAACCATATGCATTCAGGAAAAAACGTTGTATGTATACAAAACAAATGAAAATCATGAATTTTATACGACTTTATTATGTAAAATAACTCACAGAATCGTAATAATAAATCCAAAATATGAAAGATCTACTGGATTTTGAGATTTACTCAAATTAACATTTAACATATTAATTATTAACATATATACCAGAGTTAACGTTGCACGCAAAAAAGTGGCACCCACACGTTGCATCAATTGTGAATATGGAAATTTGTTTTAATGAAATAAGATCTGCATAAAGGCTGAACATTTTTATGAAAAAGCTAAAAGTGGCTGGAGTTAGCCTAATATGCATATAACGAAAGTGCTCGGCAAACCTAAATAAAGCCAGTGCAAAATTCGGGCAGCCACCGCTATAATTAGTGACTACAATATTATAGATTGATCCACTCTTAGGTTATTCTGGCTGGCTAAACGTCCCACATAGACCAAAAGGACCCTAGTGAGGCGAGTTGGAGATAGAAGTTTTAGTTAAGTATATTCGAAGTAGACATCACTTAGGATATCAAGGCTTTTTCAGAATTTCAGAATGACTGAAGACCAAGCATGTAATGTCTTCAAGATTATTAAACCCTGAAGCGCCAATTATATTTGAGCTTTGTATGTCTCCCTTGTTCCAGACCTCTAGCATTTCCTGCAAACTTCATTGACAGTGTCCTGTTAGCAGACCTATCATAGTTTTGCAGTCTTTCCGAGGTAGCGATAGTATAAACCAGGTATGTACCCTTTTTCTAGTCTACACATGACTTTAGAAATTTTGCGGTATTTGCGCGCATTCCATCTCGATATAGCCTGCATTTTGGAATGTTATTCTCTTGTCCAAGTGAATTATGCTATTGGCAATGGCATCTACAATTTCGTTACCTGTAATGCCCTTGGTGCCGAGAAGCCAATAAATATACAGACACATGTTTGCTGCTGCCCTATTTATGGTCTCCCTGCTTCTAAGAGTATTTTTTGCCATAAATTGGTATGAGCTAATATTTAGCCTTAATGGCTGCTTTATCTACTTATATGTGAACTTTATTGAGTATGCAAGCTCAGTGGGTTTTCTCACTGTGAAAACTTCTGTACGGACTATACTGCAGTGATCCGGCAGTTTAATGGGCTGACTAACATTCAGTTCTGCGCAGTATACTCCTGCTCCTACACCCTACACCATCTTTCATTTTTGAGCCATCTATGAAGAAGTTAAATGTCTTCCGGTTAGGTTGCATTCCGCTACGCCATCCGATAATATTTTGGAATTGAAGCATTCACACACTTGTTCGATTCCGTCGGAACAAGTCCGCCCCGTTTTCGTTGCTACAAAGCTTATTAATAATACGTACCCATCTGTGCTGCTATTGTATCGCAGTAAAAAATGTGATTTTAAAAACATTTGTTATTTTGTTTTCTTTCGTTAATGCCCGGATTGATTCTGAAAAATAATCGTTCCTTATGAGCTGCTCGAACTTAGTCAAATTCCAGATAA